GCTTTTTTGAAGAAGAACAAACTGCTAAAAGAGAAAAATAGAGTAAGGAAAAAATTCCTAAGAGCTGTGAGGTGAAAGCTAACAGCAAACCGATCTGACCAACAAAAAAGAGGTCTACTCAACACGGCAGTAAGAAAGGAACTGGCGGGATGTCCGCGCCCACTCTTCTGGGCATGCGCGGTGGGGTTCCTGCGCATGCCTGAGGGACTGGGCGCGAAAATCCGTTAAAAGAGCTTGGTACAGCACCCATCGATCCAGTGCGTGTGCACTAGATCCCATGGGTGTGAAGCACAGAGACCACGTTGAAGATCCTCTGGATTCAATCCTATGTTCTCCTACCAAGCTCAGATGAAATTATGGCTTTAACAGTACAATCCTTGGCTTAGATGAGAGTAACTCTGCATACTTGAAAATACAGAGAAAGGCATCACCACACAGATGTTCAAATACAGAGCCATAAGGGAGAGTGGGTGCAACATTTTATGGATATGGCATTTTGGTTTGTGTCTGTACAAATTTTCCAGCTTAAGAATTTAAATGAGGTTTACTGTTAGCTTTTCTTGAATTGTACAGAGTTTATATTTTTATGAAAGTTTTCATGCTCAGAAATTGGTAAGACTGTTAGAAATGATAATGTTCAGTGAATTCAAAGCAGCCAAATCATAATGGAGTTGCAATGGTAATAGTGACCAGGTCAGTAGTATTGTCTAGATTCACATGGTAGATTTGTAATAATTTTAAAATAAAGAGAACGGAGTTGTATTTTCATCTATTTTTCTGTATCTCTTTACATTTACTTGATGTTACCCAATTAATGCTGCATACGTTATTTTGCACTTGTTGAATAATGCTATTTTTTTAACTATACAGTTCATAATATAGTAGCAATGTATAGCCTTCACTTGTTCTGTAGTTAAGTAGTGTTTTATTACATATCTGATGCTTGCTACAAACATTCAGTATTTAGCTAGGTGCAAGCTATGTTCCAAAAGTTGATTTTAAATATATCCCTCCCAGCTGCAATCTATACTTTACCTTGACCTTCTTAACTTTTTTGTGGATAGTTGTTCCGTGTTAAGCGGGTTTCTGAGGACCAGCGGAGGATGCCGGAAAGTTATCCAAATCACTGGTTTGATGCCGAATGTAGGTTGGCCAAGAAGGCCATTCGAGTAAAATTGCGGCGTTTTAGACTTACTAGGAGACCTGAGGACTTGATTGAATTTTTTTCTCTCAAAAAAGTTTTTAAGGACCTAATTCAAGTGAAAAAGGAAGCCATGGCCACACAAGACTGGGAATCTCTTGCTACCATCTTGGAGTCCAGGGATGTGAAGGCCTTTTGGAGGCTTGTTAGACCAGGACGTCAGGCTGACATCGTGACAACAATTTCCCCAGCCAGATGGAGGGTGCATTTTGCAGCTTTGTACCAATCCTCAGAATGCCCTGTCGATGAGAAGGAAATTGATGAGGTGTTGATCTCTGCTCCGGACTGGGAGCGGGTCTCTCCAGAGTCAGTACTTGAACGTTTTAATCAGATGAAGCGTGGCAAAGCGGTGGGCCCGGATTTTATACCTCTAGAACTATTTTTGGTGAATCTCGAATGGTGGGCTCATCATTTGGCCCACCTGTTTTCGGATATCAACAAGTCAGCTAATATCCCCGATATTTGGAAGACAGCTACTGTGGTACCTATCCACAAAGGTGGGGATACCAATGACCCGGGGAATTATAGACCAATTAGCCTTATTGCTATCCCTGGGAAGATCTACTCTGCACTCCTGCAGGAGAGACTCCAGAAATGGCTTGATAAAGAGAGGTTCCTTTTTCCTGAACAGTGTGGCTTTCGACAGGGTGTCGCTACTACAGACCATTGTCTGACACTTCTCCATCTTGCCAGCAAGTATTCCTTGCGTCCAAGAGGTTGTCTCTATGCGGCCTTCATGGATTTGAGGGCTGCCTTTGACTCTATCTCTCGTCACAGATTGTGGGAGAAGTTATTGAACACCAATATTGACCGCAGACTACTGGGATTGATTATGGCTATTCTAAAACATCTGCCTCGGTTC